ATATATATACATATATATATATATATATATATATATATATATATAATTTGTCTTCCAAAATTTCATCATTGCATTTACGAGTTCAATATTCAATTGTAAATATTGCCAGGTGATATTTTAAAAAACAAATATACTTAATTCTTTCCCTGAAGATAAGTTGAACTGATCATCTAGAGAATGGAACAAATCCAAAACTGAAAAATAAAGCTCTGTGCTATTTTTCTCAGTAACACTAAGGAAAAGCAGCATAAATAGGATCAAAACTCAGATAATATGTTAGAAAATCATCCCAATGTAGCATTAGGTGACAAATATCACAACACCAACAAATGAGTGAGAAAGCATTTACCATTGCTGCGAAGGTCATCAACACGTCTCAAAATCTTGAACTCTGTCTCAAGTTTCTGAAGAAATGTTCCATTTCCATGATTTTCTGAAAATTTATAAGAAATTTCCTGATTAATCTCTTTGAACGTCTGAACTAGAATATCTCCCCTTATGACAGGATCCTCAACTCTGGCTGGAAACATCTTTGAAGCAGTTTGAAACCCGTCCTCTATTAACTTATCATTCAAATAGCAAAAGTCAAGCAATTTCCAACCAAACTTGACAATTCTCGCTGACAACATTCTTAGACTGAGAAGTGTTTCAGTGAGCAGGCTGTTCGATGACCCATCAGCAATGGTACTAGAAACAATTGCAAGACCTTTCTGCAAAGATGGCAGCAAAGAATCATGCAGTCTTGCCAAAGTTCTGAGCATATCTTCATTCCCATAACTGCGCAGAAGATGGATTCAATAAAAGTGACTAGATTCAGAAACAACAAAGATCTCAATCAGAAGTAATAAAACAGATATGAGTAGCTCACTTCATCTCAAATGAAAGAGACAAGTAAAAACTTGCAGGTCTATATGCATCAGCAAATGCATCTAGTGTCACAACCGCATCATTTATAAAGTCCATCACCTGAAGATGAACCAAATGTTTAAAAAAACCAGCACATGCTATATGAAAGAAAAAGTGAACATAGACTTATTAGAACTAAATAGGAATGACTTGCCTCCAAAAAATCTTTATGCAAATGACCAGATCCATGAGTTTCATGCCCACGAGATGAAATCAGTACCTACAAACCATGTTAGTCACACAATGTTTGTTTGCTTTGCCATTGTAACTGAACCAACCAAACAAAATGCTTAGAACTAGTTGAATAAAATCATCAGCTCCAAGTTTTAGCTCTGGAATCAGAAGCCATAGAAAATGCATTTCTAAGTCCCAAAATTTCAGTTGAATTTCCCTCGAGCAGCAAGCATATTTCCTTAGCTGGTTGCAACAGACTACTAGAATTACAGTGGTCTAATCTCTTCGCAAAAATTCTCCTGGTGATTTTCTTAAAAAATATACAGTCTGGCAGGACTTAAAAGTACATGGGTAAATCTTTCCAAAATATATATTAACAACATTAGAAGCAGGCACATCTCATGTCTTTGAAAAAAAGTTTATTAGACTGAGAAGAAAACCTCTAAAGAGGAGCTGCAGCGTTCATGCATAGTGTGCACTATATTTAGGAAATGGGAGACCACTGCTTCAACTTTATCAAGGAGATTTGGCTGGGCTCTTATACCATTTCTGACCTGGAAAGAGAATACCAATAAGGAAAAAAAGAACTCCACTTCTACTATACAAAGCAGAGCAAATATTCATGATGAGTACATCTACTTGCATAAGAATATAAGTTTCAACCGGAAACAATGAAATAATAAATGTAAATACTAAGGCAAAATCCACATCATGGCAGTAGACACTATTGTACGACATAGACAAAACCTGGTCTGGTCTATCAGAAATTATATAAAAATTACAATGATAAAATGTGAGCCAGATCCATAGTGTATTATAGGAGGAAAATAAGCATCGCACAGAACAATACTTCAAGAATGTAAATATCACAATAATTAACATTAAGAAAATATAATTAAACAGTTATAAACAATTGGCCATGGTCGCTTGAATGGATTGAAATTTCTTTCCAGACAACTGTTGTGAAAATACCAATGATTTCATTAATTGACTTTAATTTGACTAATGAATATCTAGTGAAAAACATTTACAAACTATGTAGAAGATTAGCAATACAGAAGTGAAAATCTAGCAAATGTTTCACTTTCCTCATTCACTTGCATATTGTGTTTGTCAATGTTCCAACATTCATTTATCCATCAACAAAATTTTTCATAGAGAATATTTCCAGATAAATTAACAAAGAAAAGCAAAATAAAAGCATCTCAACAACTTAAAAGACTAATAGTATGCATAAAAAATTGACACAAAACATGGCATACTTCTTAATAATGCATTTATAGAAACCAGGATCTTATTCTAATACAAAGGTTTGTCCATGTGACCATACCAAAAGGAGATAAAATAAACAGAATTAAAATATAAGCCAAAGGAAAATACCAATGACTTGGTTAACTCTTCATTATCATGTCCATAGATAGCACAAATATCCAATAATTTTGGCAAATCCAGTAGATTCTTTTCCTGCAAGAGGGCTATACGAGAACAAACTGAATAAAAGCAACTGTTTAAATTATTTCCAAGATCATACTATCATAGGAAAGGGCAATGACACCTGTATGATCCTTCATACTGAGGCAATCATTTGGACACGCCCCAGGATCCTTGTTGGAAGACCTGTAATAAGATCATCATCAAGTACTAATCTGAAAAATATGACACTAGATCATCAACAACTACAAGCCTAAATGAGATGACACCTTATTGGTAATGGTCTAAGTATCAAAAATCAGTAATATATATAAGATTTTTCTGTGAAAAGTTATTGGCGGATTCGGAATTAAAACCAACTACAAAAGGCCAACAAATCATCAATGACGGGCTTACATTCGATAGAGGATCATAAAAACACGTCGACATAGCTCAAGCTCCCCGACGATGACCCCAGCAACAACCCCCCTCGATCCCCGATGTGGGAAATCAGACCATCTATTTCTGAACTGCAGGTAACTATCCAAGAACTCAATCAAAGCATCATTCTTCGCCACTGAAAAATCAATTGCCAAATGAGAATCGAATTGTTGGATCAACAGTCAAGAAGGGGTTTAATTGCAATATCATGAATCGACTATTTTGTCCGAGAAAAAGGGCGTAGGGTTCCAGGGATTAAGATCTCTCGACCTTCTCTCCAGAAATCCCTAGGGCTCATCTTAAGGATCTTGGATAGCTCATCGTTGAGGAGGTCGACGACGGCCTGCGACTCGACAGCATCCAGGCCGCCGGCGTCAGCGCCGAGGCCGGAGGCCACGGCCTCGTCGTGGGGCAAGTAGGTGACGAAGTTCCCTTCATCGCGGAGCTTCTCCCTCGATCCAGAGCGGGCCGCAGCGACGGCGGAGTGGTTCCTCAGAGCGGTGGTGAGGGGCCGGAGAGGATTGCTGCGATTGGAGCTCGAGGGATTTGCCGAGGAAGAGGTGGATGAGGAAGAGTTATCGTTCTTGGGGACGAACTTTTTCTGGTAGCGATAGGGTCCTTTCGATCCGTGGAACCGCTGCGTCGGGGCGGAAGACATGGCTTCGTTTGCTTCGCGAGCTCTTCAGAGAGGGAGGGAGGGAGAGAGAAGGGGGATCGTTTGTCGAGCACGGCAACGGCAAAGGAAGCCAGTCGTCGAGTATGTGTGGCGAGTATTAATTGATTAGGGTTGCACGTGTGCTTCGATCGGACTTTACCGGGTCAGGTCGCACCCGATTGAGAGACACTTGGTTCTTGAACGACGACACATGTGATTAACGGGTCGGATCGAGTCGATTGGATCAAGAACGAAACAGGATTTGTTGATCTGAACCCGAGTCATACGATTAATGGGTTGAATCGAGTCAATTGGATCAAGAATGAAGCAGAGTTACTTCTTTTGATCTAATAGAAGTGGGTTGGGCTAAGTTTGATATGAATCAAATCAGATGGATGTCAGAAACTTGGGTTAATAATTTGTCTTGTGTTTTGTTTGGATGAGTCAAAATGTAAAGATTAAGAAGTGATTTGAATATGCTTTTCACATGAATGTTAAGCAAAAAAAAAGGAAAGCCTCAAATAGAGTATGAAAAGTATAACTTATTTGGCAATTTTTTTGAAGTATTGGGAGGTATGATATGCAAAATTTTCACCAAATAATTATTAAGTATTTCTTAAAAATTAGGCAAGTGAAATTTACGAATAAATCACAAGGCTTAAAATATGACATATGATTGATATTTATTATAGAATCGAGATTCTAACTCATTAAATAACAAAACAAATTAGAATAACTTACTATATCATTGTAAATTATAATAGAGAATATTTTAAATCATGAATCATTCGAATAATCTCTATAATATGAGAGACTTGGGTGTCATATATATGAATTTCTTCATATATATATATATATATATATATGAGCTACATAAATACATTAGTAGATGCAAAGGATTTTTAGTCAACTCAAGCCGAGTGAAGCCTTCAATATCGGTTGGTTATCAATTTCAACCTTATTAGAAAACAACCTATAATAGTTAGATATATTTATTAAATATAATAACATATACTATTTAAAAAATGATCATGTTATCTATAATTTAAAAATCTTAAGCTATTACATGTTCTTTCAAATAGTTATTGTTAGTCGATTTAAGTTTGAGCCCCCACACAAAGATAATAATAAAAATATATATTAATAAAATATAATTTTGTTGATTTTTTTATACAGTCAGTGATATAAGTTTTAGGATAATGTTTTTTAAAAACCACAATTTTCCATTATTTTTTGTAAATATTATTTTTTATTTTATTCTTGCATAATCTTCCTTCTTAGTCATCTTTACCATTTTACGCATGGTACTCATCTCACCATCGCCGTCTTCTATCTTATTGTCTATTGCTTTTTATCTTGCCACCTTCGTCTCCCATGATTGCCCCCTTTACTGTATTCTCATGGAGATCTCTAAACCCCTTAAATACACCCTCACCCTCATCTATCATCTCCATCCTAGTGCGAGATCTCAACGTCATCACCTATTGCCTCTATCTCGATTATGAGATCTTAGCATCCTCGTACCCTTCTCATCATTGCTCGTTGATATATATCTCTCTCAGGGCAATCGTGGAGTTATCATTCTCTTCTCTTTTCTCTTCCTCCTTCATCGACATAATTTCCTCATCTCCTATTATTCAAAAACTGATTTTGGATGGTCTTATTATCCATGATCTCTTTCTTTCCCATTCTAATAGAATCGTCAACGTGAGCATCACAAACATCGATGACTTCTTATCGTTCTTACCTATAATTCAAGATAGCTCTAATAATAAAATTTGAAGAAGATAATATAAGGGTGCTCACGACAGATGATAAGGAGGAATGTGACGGCCAACATTAGGAAAAATACTATATGTGAATAAAGCAAAGAAGAAATATTATGAAGGAGAGAGTGAAAACTTGAATTTTTTTTAGAATTTATCCTCAATTTTAAGATGATAGCATAGTGAAAGATTCTTCCGCTCAAATCTTCACCAATCCAATCAATTATAAAGAATATAAATTAAATTAGATTTCATCTACATTTTAATGACAAAAAAAGAAGACAAACTCCATCATCACTTGTTTTACGAATCGCCCAAATCTAATCGTTTGATGGGGCGTCAAATTTATTGGACGGCTTGGATTGCATTTGCGTGCTCTCGCTCTCCGTTCAAATCCTCTCCTAAACCTCAACAAAATCGCGTCGAAGGACGCGAGTGTGGCACTGTGGTAGCTCCCGAAGCAAGTGAATGAGAGGACATGTCTCCTCTCTCTCCCTCGATCTCGCCCCTGTCGCGAACCATTACGCCGCCGTTCTTCACCGCGTCGCCACCGCCCCGGCCCCTTTCCTCCGCCGCCTCCGTGCCGTCCACGCCCACATCCTCGCCTCCGGCTTCAAGCCCCGCGCCCACATCCTCAACCGCCTCATCGACCTCTACTCCAAGTCCGGCGACCTCCCCTCCGCCCGCCGCCTCTTCGATGCTACCACCGCCCGGCGTCACGATTCCATCGCTGCTACTTCTCTCATCACCGCCTACTCCGCTGGCGGCCACCTCGATGCCGCCCGCCAGATCTTCGATCACACTCCTCTCGCATCCCGCGACACCGTCTTCTACAATGCCATGATCTCCAGCTACTCCCGCGCCTCCGATGGCCCTGCTGCCGTGGCAGTGTTCCGCGACATGATGGACGATCGAGTCCCTCGTGATAGCTATACATTCACGGGCGTTCTCAGTGCCGCCGCTGCTATACTTCCTCTGGAGCTCACGCAGTGCCAGCAGCTCCATTGTTCGGTGGTTAAGTCCGGAACTGAAAATTCTGTCTCCGTATCGAATGCTCTCATTGCGCTGTACGCGAAGTGTGAGGCTCAAGAAGCAGCGGTGCATGCCCGGGAGGTGTTTGATCTGATGCCGGAAAGAGATGAGCTGACTTGGACCACAGTGGTGGTTGGATACGTTAGGAGAGGTGACATTGGTGAGGCTCGTCGAGTCTTTGATGAGATGGAAGGAAGATTTGATGTGGTTTGGAATGCGATGATTTCAGGTTATGTTCATCATGGACTTATCTCAGAAGCTCTCGAGATGTTTAGACAGATGCATTGTCTTGGTATTCCTCTTGATGAGTTTACCTACACTAGCGTGCTCAGTGCATGTGCAAATGGAGAACTGTTTAACCATGGTAAGGCTGTTCATGCCCACATCATTCGGGTGGCACCAGATTTTGATCCAGAGACAGCATTGCCTGTTGAGAATGTGTTAGTCACTTTGTACTCCAAAGATGGAAATGTTGATGTTGCAAGAAGAATCTTCAATGACATCCGGAGGAAGGATGTTGTCTCCTGGAATGCCATGTTGACGGGGTATCTAAATAGTGGGAAAATTCATGATGCCATTGATATTTTCAGGGACACGCCACAGAAGAATCAGTTGACATGGATGGTTATGATCTCAGGCTTCTTGCATAATGGGCTTGCAGAGGAAGGTCTGAAGCTTTTCAATCAAATGAAGGAGGAAGGTGTCAAACCATGTGATTATGCATACGCAGGAACAATTGCTGCTTGTGGTGAGCTAGGGGCATTGGAGCATGGAAGGCAGCTCCATGCTCAGCTTATCCAATTAGGTTACGAGTCAAGCAACTCAGCAGGCAATGCGCTTTTGACAATGTACGCAAAATGTGGTTCTGTGGAGGCAGCACATCTAACATTCCTTATGATGCCCAATGTGGACTCTGTATCTTGGAATGCAATGATAGCAGCCCTCGGGCAGCATGGGCATGGAATAGAAGCAATTGATCTCTTTGACAAGATGATCAAGGATGGGATCAGTCCAGACAGGATCTCTTTCCTTACAGTCCTGTCAGCCTGCAGTCATTCTGGTTTAGTTGATGAAGGCTTCCAATACTTTGAGTCAATGGAGCGTGATCATGGTATTAGCCCAGGGGAAGATCATTATGCCAGGTTGATTGATTTGCTTGGTCGAGCTGGTCGAATTGATGAAGCTTGGAATGTCATCAGATCAATGCAGTTTGCACCTGGTCCATCCATTTGGGAAGCTGTTCTCTCTGGTTGTCGAATTCATGGGGATATGACTCTAGGAATATATGCAGCAGAGCAGCTTTTCAAGATGATTCCACAACATGATGGAACATATATCCTCTTGTCCCATCTTTATGCAGCTGTTGGCCAGTGGGCAGGTGTGGCAAAGGTAAGGAAACTGATGAAGGATCGAGGTGTGAAGAAGGAACCTGGGTGCAGCTGGATCGAAGTAGCCAATAAGGTTCATGTGTTCCTGGTCAATGATATAATGCATCCTGATGTTCAAGAAATATACAAATTCCTCGAGATACTTGGTGTTAAGATGCGAAAGCTGGGTTATGTCCCTAATACCAAGTTTGTGTTGCATGACGTTGAGTCTGGGCAAAAGGAATATGTCTTGTCTACTCATAGTGAGAAATTAGCTGTTGCATTTGGCCTTCTAAAGTTGCCAGCTGGTGCACCAGTTAGAGTTCTGAAGAACTTAAGGATCTGTGGAGATTGCCATTCAGCAATCATGTTCATGTCATTGGCAGTTGATAGAGAGATTATTGTCAGAGACGGTAAGCGCTTTCACCATTTTAAGGATGGGCAGTGCTCTTGCGGGAACTATTGGTGAATTGTAATTGTCTCTTAATGACGAGCTTTCTCTCTATTATGCTTCCCCTCCAAGCAGTGGAACATGTTCATGTTTGATCTCAACCACATACATATATCATGCAGTTGATGATTTCTAAACGTAAGTTCTTTGATCTCAACCACATACATATATCATACAGAAAAATATTTATACACCTGAAACATTTGACTTATTTCTATTAATTTTTAGAATGTAAATTGTTAATGCAGGCTCTTGTTGATCATGGAGGAATTTTATGATCAGTACAGATACTTTTCTCAAAACTCAAGAGTCTGTAGTTGACTGTTCTTCGAGAGGACCATTCCATCTAGAAAGTGCTACCAGCTTAATCATGTTCCACATTCACATTAGGTATGGCATCATTGTATACTGTAAAGTTCTTTGTTGCTGATAAAATTGCCTTTCGGATCAGGAATTGATTTTGTTAGTGGCTGGTCAGAAGGATATTTATTCACCCAAAACATGTGACTTATTTCTATTAATTTTTAGTGTAAATTTCCATCTAGGTGGTAGCAGCTTAATCATGTTCCACATTGACATGGGTGCCATATGTATCATTCATTGTGTACTGTAAAAGTTCTTTATTGCTGATAAAATTGGATTTTCAGATTAGTGACTTGTTTAGGATCTCAAATGATTATTTATTTATAACAATTTTTTTCCCTCAATTGTAGCATCTATTCTTCTATATATCTAGAGAATTTTGTGATGTCCTAATTGGTGTAAGGTATTAAGTTGTCCATGCGTGCGATGAATTTGCAGGATCTTGCTATCAACAATTAAAATTTATGGTTGATATTTTTCGAGAAAAATAGTTTTTAATCCAAATTCATCGCACTCATCTGAATGAAGCAATTCATTACTCAGGATGAAAGGAGACAATATATCGCACTCATCATGTACGTCATTTGATATAATAATAATAATTATTATTTTTAAATATTATATCCTAATTAATATATATTTCGTGTATAGTAAAAATAAATATTTATAGTTTCTCATACTTCATATATATCAAATATTTTAAAAATAATTAGTAAATATCTTATACATAGTGGATATTTTGTACATGATTAGTTGATAGAGACTATGATAATATATCGTAAGATCACTGCTTACTTTTTATAAAAAAAAAAAAAATTATATAAACTTTGTAGAAGATTTTGTGAATAATTAAGAAATTTTCTACACATAATTAACAAAAAGGAGTAATCAGGCCATGCGATCTGAATTGGACGGCTGCGATCTCCGAATTTTTTTCTTTGTATTTGCACGATATATAAATTCTGACTCGGCTATTTATCATGGTCTCACGATCATAATCGAACGGTCCTGATTTCTCCTTTTTTTCCCCGGATCCCGAAACGGACGCACTCGTCTCACTCCGCAGTCCGGGTTTCAATTTACTTATATCGACTATTAATTAATTCCATTCTCCTGGCCCTCGGCGTCTTACAGCTCGTCGTTCCTTCGCTCCCCAGATCTCTTCCCCTCCGGGCTTCATCTTGTCCTTGTCGAATCAGTCTAATCTCAAGCTTTGCTCCCATCCTTTTTTAGCTCCGTCTCTCGCCGCTCCTCCCGGGATCGTCGATTGATGCGATGGTCGTCTGCAAATGCCGCAAGGTAGCCCCGATCCGATTCCATTAGTCATCTCGTTGCCCTCGCTCGACACCAGGATGTGGTAGTTTTCATTTCACGCTCTTCCTCTTCGATCTTTCAATCGGGTTACAATCGGATTTGGACCTTTGGAGAGCTACGCGATTCGGGATTTGAAGTACCCTTTGCGAATTATTGGAGATAGATAGCGCAGTTTTCTGACTGAAATTGTTAAGTTGTAGGGATGGATCTATCAAGCATTCGTTCGATAACTTCTTTTAACTGGATTTGTTTCAACTATATCTTCTTAACCTCTGAAAGATTTTCTAATGGTAGGACATCTATTGTTGGGTTAGGTTTTGGTGGTTTTATCATGATTCAGAGAAGATATTGGTTTCCGTTGATTGTTCGGTTCCTTTCGGTAGAGAGTGTCCCGTTTGTTTGCTAATGCTAGAGTATCACGCATTTGATTTTTTGGGTTGTGTTGTTTTCTTGAAACTAATGGAGGATTCGGTTGCAGGCAACCAGGCTTTATTGCTTTGTCCACAAGGTTCCCGTTTGTGGAGACTGCATATGTTTCCCGGAACATCAGATCTGCGTGGTAATCATCTCAACCTATTATTCTGTGCCTGGACATTTTTAAGTATGTCACTACCTTACGTATAGTAACTAGGGTTGTAAACCTGCCATATACAACTCTTTTGATTTATTCTGAAGTCCTATTTAATGTAGTGTTAATAGTTAATTGTGGACGACTGTTTTCTTGCTCTTGTGACCAGAATTGTGGGTTAGTCAGCTCATTTACAATGACTAGGATGTCAATTAACATCCTAAAAGCTCCATCAAGGTTTGCAAGTCAGTGACATGGAATATCCTTTTATTTTCTCCAACAATTGGAGTTTATACATGTGATCTGTTTTTTTTTTGTGCTAGCCCATCTCATGGGCAAATTTCCTTGGTGGCTGTTCTACATCGAGATCTATGTATGGTGAAAAATGAAGTAAAAAGCAATAAGCATAACAAATGGCATCTAGAACATAATAAATGAGGTGGGAAAACTAGTATGTTGTATCCAAAGCTTTAGGTAAGTTGAAAGAGAAAAAAAAGTCTGGAAACAGCACATGAACATTTAATCTTGTTGCATGGTAGGTATTCATGGTGTTTACAACTTATGTTATTTCAGCCAGTACTAAAGTAACCTCTGCAGTAATGGTGCATATGGAATGTGCTGTATATTGGTATAATAGTACTATGATACTACTGTATTAAACTATAATTCTACCAGAGCACTGAGGCATATTGCACCAGCTTGTACATTCTATCGGATAAAATTCCTATATATCAATTTCTTCACCAAGTTTATGCTTAGGAGTCTTTAAATAATTATTACCATTAGGAGTACTCATGATGCAACTTCTTCTAAATGTTTCTCTACATTTAAGAAGCTGCATACAAGGTTTCAAATATTGGTTGATGCTTGATCAGGGAAATTCTTGATAATATCAGAATATACTTTTCCTGAACCAATATCAGGGATCTATGCTGATTTGGAACTTCAGTCTGATCTAGACTTGAAGACCTCTAACTTAGGACAATTGTAAATACCTACATTTAGATGAGTGAACCTTTGCTGTATATGATATGAAAATGCAGATATTGTTCATTAGTTATTAGCTATTGGTTGAAAGTCATGTTACATGGATATATTATTCACAGGCTTTAGATTTTGTTAGGATTTCAGGATTTTATCTAATTTCCTTACTATGATTTTAGAACATATATATCTTAACTTTTTCTTAGAATGTTATTCAATCCATTTAAAATTGAACCTGATGCTTACAATTTGATTGAATAAAACTATCTTTTTACTGTTCTCATGGTTTTTCCAAAGGAAATTGAAAATTTTCTCGGACCATTTTGTCAATGAACTTCCTCGGATTTATAATACCATCTCAATCAATGAGTATTCTTTCACCAATCCATTTCACTGTTTCTGTGGATCTTTTTAAAGGATATTAAAAAGATTGTTTTACCATTTTACCGAAGAACTTTTTCAGATTTTTGTTTGTATGTCAATGATTGATTACTCAAGGACAAAATTTTAATTCATTAACCCTTATACTATACTTCCTCCTGATGCATTCTGTTTAGTCTACTTAAGAAATATGTTGCTTGCTTAACACCTTGCATCTCTCCGCTTACATTTGTCCAACCTACTGCTACATATTACTTTGTTGGTCTGTGATGCCATTACTCTGTACAGTATGCAAATATATAAGTTGTTCATTGTGTTGTATATTTTCAGTGGCCCGACTTCTATTTCATCTTGATACAATATTCATTCCATGTGCTCCAACTTGTTGTTGGTAAGCTTAATAAGTCAGTGATGAAAATGACCACTACTACTACAAACAAAAGTTAAATTTGAGTGTTTTTTAGTTCGCAATTTTTTTTTGTCTTGCAAGTATCATATTGCATTTTTTCAGCTTCATCCTACTATGTGTACCTAAAGTGATTTAAGTGGGGTGTCCATTTGAAGCATCGACATGGTGATTTGGGTGACGTACCTATGTCCGACACGGATTCATCTCTAGCATGACCTGACACATGTCTTTTTTATTTTTTATTTGTTTAATTTGTTGGATATGTCGTTCACATGTCTGACTCGGTGGTCGCCTACGGAGGCATTAGGGAACCTTCGAGTCCAACTTGGTGGTCGCATGCGAAGACATCGAGAACCTCCGGAATCCTTCTTCCTCACGGATTCAGGGAGGATTTCAACATTAAATACCACTTGTCCCGAGTGAACCCTGGCACATCATGGGTTTTCCTTCTTCCTCATCGGCTTAGCTTCCCTTCGTTGTTGTCGTGCACTATCGGATCATTCGTCCTGAGTGCCTCTCTGTAGAGTTGCGTGTTGCCTTTGCATGCCGTGGGACCATCTTCCCCAAGTGCCCCTTTGCAAAGACAAAGTTGCGCATTGTCGTCGAACCATTCGCCCTGAGCACCCCTTTGCAAAGGCAAAGTCGTGTGCTGTCACTGCGCATTGTCAGACCATATGCCCCGAGAGCCCCTCAATAGAGGCGGAATTATGCACTGAAGTTACACCCCTCTGTAGAGCTTCTTCCTTAACCATGTGGTGTCGCAAGCCGAAGGTATCTCGTATAGGCATATACCGTTTACTAATGTTTAGCTTTTTTTTACTGCTATAAACATTATTAACATATTATTATTTTTTATTCTTTCTTTTTTTTTTAATCTGGGTTTTTTTATTGCTTCTGAAACATATTATTAACCTATTTTTTTAACCTTAGTTTTTTTACTGCTTCTGATTAAACTGTTAACATATTATTAACCTTTTTTTTATCTGTTTTTTACTGTTTCTGAATCCCTGATTAAATTGCTATAGTAATTTGAATAAACTATAAATTGAATAAACTGTAATTATTATAATAATTTGAATAAATTGTAAAATATAATAATTTGAGTAATATATAAAACTCATGTAAATCAAATAATATATGTGTGTGTGGGTATTAAAAAATACGTGTCCTTGCCGTGTCCGTATCCCAATTTTTTTTAAAATGATGTGTTGCCGTGTCCTCGTGGTGTTGTGTTCATGTCTTGTGTGTCCATGTTTGTGCTTCTTAGATGTCCATCTATCAATGTACCTAGAGTGAGTAAAACTCGGAGGGATTTTTTCTGAAAATCCTACCTGCCTGCTTGTACTTAGTATTCATGGATTATTCTGTTTTTTTTTTAGGTGAAATTGAATGTCTTTCATTTGCAGTCTTTCCCCAAGAAAATCAATTCTGATAGGTATTGATGATTTAGTTAGCTTATGTGGACTCCAATTCCTAGGCATGATACTTTGCCAATTTTTGAGGAATACAATTTATACTGCAAAAATCTAAGTAGGAAAATTCTTGTATGTCTCCACATGATATCGTGCCTTTCCTTAATAACATAAATCAACATGTTCGTATGCTATAAATATACTATTGAAATGTTCACAACAAGTATTAGATAACAGATATATAGTTGATACAATGACTTTTGTTCCGATTGCTTAATTTATATGAGAAATTCTATTTTGAGGAAAGATCACTCTTGTTTTCTTAATCTTTAGGTAAAAAAATACTCTGATTGGGTAGTTGATGGGGAGTATGACTGGCCACCAATGTGCTGTTTGTGCAATGCTGCATTGGAAGCCGGGAGTGATCAAACTAATCGATTGGGTTGCTTGCGTATGTTAACTTTTCACTTTACATCTATACTTGTATTTCTTAAAGATCTGAGTTGCTTATTTCACAATATGTTAATTGCTGTGTTTTTCTGATTTCAGATCTTATGCACACACATTGCTTGGTCTCACATATCAAAAGCTTCCCACCTCAAACTGCCCCTGCAGGATATGTTTGTCCTGCATGTTCTTCCCCTGTAAGTTATACCACCAAATCCTTTCATTTTGTTGGTTGCAGAACAGAATTCAGATGGCAAGTGATGGGTTAAGACAATGTTTTTTACCCCTCAAAAGACAAGACTTGAATGAATGCATATGATTTAATCTGTTCATCTGTAGTGTGTGCAATTGTCTTAGTAATGTTTTAAGTATTAGTTTGAACTACAGTTTCAGCCAAATATTTGTAGTTCTATTTTCAACATTGTAGTGGTTTTAGTTTTTTAGCAGTTCCAAATTGAATTTTGATAGTTTTGATTTTTAAATTTTGTTAAACAAGTGCGGAAAAAAATATAAAAATCATAAAGAGATCAAAATAATTAAAACTAACTGGAGAAGAAAGGACATAGAATAGTATGAAGAAGCATTGTTTTAATACAGTATTTTACTGTTTGCTGATTTAGATTGAAAGTACTGGAAATTTTTAAAGTTGCATGATGGTCTTGTTTGAGTTCAAACATCCTTAATAATCTTTTTAGGAAATTGTAGTAGTACAATATCTGAAAGTTTGAGCAAACTCAAGGAATTAGTCTAATGATTCTTTTAACTATTTTAGACATCAGAACCTTGTAACTTATTTAGTTTTATATGCATTTAAAAACTAAAACTGCTGAAAGTTGTTCATAGTTACCTTTTCTCAATTACAAACAATATTGACCGGAAAAACTTTCAAGCTGTATTTTGGTTTGTGGTTAGATAACCAAGATAAAGAAGAATAGGTTAACTAATTTAGTTCCATTCTTTTTGGTTTGGTTGCTAAGTCTGCTAATCAACTAGATTCTCTAGGTTAGCAAAGGAGATGAGAGCGGCTGCTTAAATTTAATCCTCGTCGAAGAACCACAGTTATGTGCTTAACTCCTTTGACTGAGCTGGTTATTTGACACTCTGAAACAATAGTTTTTGTTGGGGGACGGCAGTTCGATGTATGAAGCTCCTATCATTGCAAAGTCTAGGGACACTTAATGTGTGTAACCTTACCCTTGCAAGCAAAGTTAATTTGTGACTCAAACTCTTGATACCTAGGTTGCCGTGGAGCAACCTCAATGTATGCCTGTTGTATTAGACCTCTGTTCACCTGGTGACTCTCCTTAATCTTAAACAAACAATGCCAAGAGTAAAAACTAAAAAAAAAATCTAATTGACTACTTTCAACTGAAATTAATTTCGCTTTAAACCACCTGAGTTAAACCAGGAATCAGGTGGCCTAAATGGTTGAAATTCTGGAAATTTTGGCCAAATCTTGTTCGGTTTCCTGGTGTAGATTCAGCCATATGAAGAAGGCATTGAGCTTTGTTGTGTTTGTGATTGTTCAAGGCAACAAAGTCCGCATATCATTGACTATCCACGAACTTAAACAATATAGGTGGTGACATTGACTGGGAAAGGGAAGGACTGGTGAACAAATAATAAAGTGGATCAGGTGAAGTTGATCAGCCAGTTTGGTACTGGTAACCTGATTTAGATTATGGTTTGTGAATTTGGACTTGCTGGTGGTTTGGATTAGGTCTAGGTAGTTTTATTATCAGAGCTCAAGTGACCCGAGCAAGCCGATGGAAATCAACCATCTGTCTTTTTATGCTATTTCACTTACTCCATTTAGTTTACACTTATGTTGGACAACTTTTTCCATTAGTGCTACTACTATAATCTGTCTGATGTGTCCATAACTTGCTCCCTTGTAGTTTTCTTTGAAAAAATGCTGTGGTCTCTTGTAAATGTAATCCAACACGTTCAAGCCTTGTTGAAAAGGTTTATTCATTGGTTTGGCTCATCCTTCTGCAAAATTTCCATACTGCTCATTGAGAAGATTCCATTTATTCAAAGATACCCTAGCTGAAGACAATTTTAGTCTGTGTTTTAATGTTCTTCTTATTTATTACTTGTAAAAGACTGAGAGCCTAATGATGCATTCCATGACCCATACAATTATTGAGCTTATGAAGTTTTTGCTGAAACCTTTGTTTGACAAGTTACAAAGTTGATTCCTTTCAGCCTTAAGTTATCAAGATCTTTGTTTTTACACTATGATCCTTAGATAATGTCTGTGCTGAAAATCAATTATGAACTTGTTTCCTCTTAATTAATAACTTGTTACAGATATGGCCCCCTGTAAGCATAAAAGATACGGGATCTCATCTCCACTTAAAGCTTAAGGAAGCAATAATCCAGGTAAGCTTGTTTTTTCGTAAATTATGTCTCACTTACAAATTTCTAACTTTATGTGGTAACATTTTTCCTGTCAAGATACCCAGCTTATCATCCTTTAGTTCCTTGTTATGTCTTTTATTCTATATTAGACTGTTGTCTCAGAGTGATCAAGCAGGTGACAGATTTGTCATTTGTCATTCACAATGCACATCTTGTTGAACTCTATTCTGTGTTCTGTCTCATGTGTTGCAGAGTGGCCTGGAGAAAAATGTATTTGGAAATCATCTAGTTTCACTTTCTGCAGAGAACCGTGTTCCTCCTCCTGCTTTTGCTTCTGAACCAATTATGCGCATGTCTTCTGTTGAAGACACTGAAAGAGGTGGAGCAAGTTCAGTTAATTCTGTTAAAGATTCAAAACCCATGCTATCTTTAACAGTCACAGATGATAAGTACTCAGAATTATACTCTACTATTGGAGTGGGCTCTTCTAAGCTTGAACCAGAGATTGTTGAAGTTGACGGTCCTAATGCGTTAGAAAACCAATTTATGCAAGATCAAGAGCCCCATCTTATGATAAGTGTGAGTCTGTTGAGCCATGACATTTGAGACAATAACTAGCTTTATATATGATATTTGATGTGGTTTCGGATATTGCTATCCTGTGGCTTTTTCCACAAGTTCATCTATAATGTTTATTGTATCTGATTTTTTGTCCTCTGTTTCATACAGCCTGGTGCTGCTGCAAGAAAGCCAACTTACCATGGCAGACAAAATTCTGAAACATCATATTATGCTGATGATGAAGATGGGACAAGCAAAAAGTATACACGACGCGGTAAGATAATACAGCAGACCCTTTCATTTAATGTCTATTCATTTCATTGAAGGTTCTTGGTTATCTCTGTGTATTTCAATTCTTATTTTTATTATCCGAATACTACTATATGATATTTTTCAATAAATAAATGACCTGAAGTGGCAAGTGCATTCTATTTAATTACATTCATACAACTTCAATTGCATTCTCCTTTCTGCCGATAGATAGCATGGTTTTTGTGCTCTGTTAGCCTCCTTTTTGTGCATGTCAATTTTTCTTTAAGATTTTCCTTAAGTAGCCCAAACCAGCAGGAAGTTTAAAAATTGTGAATACTTATTAGTGTGTATATATATTTTCAATTACTTATCACTGTTCCTCTAATTCTCATTTATGTCTTCCTTCATCTATGAATGTGGATATAAAATAGCTACTTTAGCCATCTACTTCACACTCTTATCTTTCCTAGATCTTAAAAATAATATCACTTTTATACTAAATTTAATAAGGGTTATATTTGTCAAGACCCGTGCTTGTTAGGCTAACTAACCTATTAATTTCGTTTGACCTAAACCACTAGTAAAAAATTCTTAAGTTGAAGTCGATACTAGTGCACTTATCAGACTCTTATAAGTCAATCTTAGTCTCGTCCACTTCCGATGTGGGATAATCGAGGTATTATAATTTCCTCCGCTCAAGGATTTGACGTCCTCGTCAAGGCCTAGCATAACCCAAACGAAACCCTAGCATGGTGCATATAAGGCATAGCCCAGTGATGGCTCCACACTGTGACGAGTCCTTTGACTCCATCCACGGGTAGCCTTTTCCTACTCGAGCCTCCTCATCATACCCAAATACTAAGTTGGTTTTGATATCAAATGTCACGGCCTCGGCCTAATAGGCTAACTAGACCATAATCTTTGTTTGATCTAAATCATTGGTCAAAATACCTAAGTTGAAGTTGATAGTAGTATACTTATCAGACCCTTATAAGTCAATCTTAGTCTTGCCCACTTCTGATGTGGGATAATTGGGGTGTTATAATTTCAATCGACTAGGTAACTTACATTATGGTTGGACCTATCTGTCAAGTTAAATGCGAATTCAAGAATAAGACAAATTCTAATTGCAGCATCTGAAGTTTTTGTTACTAATTTTAGTCTTGTTATGCCGTGTTACATCCTAATTTCTTAACACATCCAGCTTAATTCTAGTTGGCATTGTTGTCCACATTCAGGTTGAAAGTAGATGCCTTAGACCACCAATCCAATACTAACATTACATAATGGGGCACATGATTTACTTGAACTTCACTAAATAATGTTGGAAATTGAACCATTGTTATGATGCAAGCCCAAAACTCACTAAATATGAGTTTTCCAATCTCTACATTTGTTACACCTGGATGCATAACAGTAATGGATCTTCATAATGTCCCAACGTTTTTGGATGCTACATGATGTTTTTCCCTGTTCAGCTACAATACGAAGGAACAAGTGTTGGTTTGTAGATGCACAAATTTTATTTAAGTGACCTTCTAGTACAAAGGAGGTATCACGTTAGCAGATTGTTTTAAGTCAGGCATCCCAATACTAGTTGGTTTTCTATGGTAAAGTGGATTTGGTTTGGATCAATGTACCAAATGATTTTGATTTCAAATGCAGGTCCTGTGCGTCACAAGCTTCTAAGGATGTTGCTGCCTTTCTGGTCAAGTTCATTGCCTACTCTACCAGTGACTGCACCGCCACGCAAAGAAGCTAACACAAATGGTCCAGAAGGAAGAATACGTCATCAAAGATCCTCAAGGATGGACCCCAGGAAAATATTACTCATCATGGCAATCATGTAATTTCTCCTACTTCTGTTATCATATATTAAGTTCATTTTGACAATTTGTGGGAACAAAGATCAGAAGGGTTCTGAAATGAAAATTTGCTGTCTCATCAGGTGGTGATGTTCTTTATGATTGAGCAGTTGAATTTGTCCTGAATAATTTGTTGTCTGATTTACCTGTAGTTGCATGCTTGTTAGTTGAACATAAATCTCTATTACTATGTTTATACATATCCATTCAAATTCAAGAATTACATGAAAGTTGAAGACAAATTTATCTCTCTTGCTGGAATTCTGGTCTGATCAGTTTTGCATTGAATGACTAAGATAGCATGTGAGCAGTAGATGTTGAAAAAGAGCAAGCCTTCAACTCGTTGGCTTTTTGAAATTTTAGACTTATGCAGGATTTTCTAAGTGCTTAGCATGTTTGTCATTTGTAAAATAAAGTGAAAATGTTGTTTAATGTTTATAATTTTAGCATCATGTTTTGAAATAATAGGTTCTTGCATAGTCATGTTTCTCATCACTGATAATGGTAACTGCAAAATAATATTCCAAGCAAACAAGCTTATCGTAAGAACTGTTTTTATGAGCAGGGCATGCATGGCAACAATGGGGATATTGTACTACAGATTGGCACAACGCAGTCTCAGTGTAAGCATAACAGAAGATGAGCCCCAGTAGGTACTGTCTAATCTCTTTGGGTCATGGGTTATGTGATGGTGTTTTTGTAGAATACCAATTTCTTGTCTTTAATGCTGCCCATTCCAGTCCTATGAACTTCTGGAGGCTTAGCAAACATTACAATGCTACAGTGTGTGGTTTAAGTGTTGACTACAGGATATGTTTAAAGAATTAGTTGCTTCTTAAATCATTTTTAACAAAGATTTCTCTGCAGTTCCCTCTTTCATGGATCACGGACATTTATTTAACCGTTGAAGTGTAAATTTTGTTGTATGTTAATGGCCCATTTTCTTGATGGCCTCTGATTGGGCATTTTGATGTAGTCTCATGTCTTGATTGCCACGAAAGCCTGCTTGCTGAATGAATGCTATAAATGCTTTCCATGCCATTTGAATCGTCAAGGACATGAACTGAAACTATGTGCAAGTGATCTGATTTTCTCATGTTGTCCAGTAGCAAAGTGCACGAGGTGTTAGATATATGAACTTATCGAATTGTCTACTCTATGGCTTAGAACATATCTGATATTTCTGTATTGGTACATTCGTCTACACATTCTTATCGATCCTTGCATCAAGATCCTCTGGCAATCATCATCACACACCATTATCTCTGTCTGCTCCATCCCTCTCACACTGTTTTTTTCATGTATTTATTTCAATGTAAATTTCCTCCGCAGTCCACTCCACCTGAATCCAAGTTGAACCTAATCCAACTACAAATGAGTATGATTTAAGCAACCACATATCTCTGTCTGCATGCTTGTGATGTTAACAATGCATGTATATGTGCATCCCTTATGTTGCTTCGCAGGTGTTGGGATCGTGTGCATTTTGAGTATGATATGTTTGCCCCTTTTTGACAATTGATTTAGAGTTAATAAGAACTTCTTGCTGTACTTTATTTTATGGATGTTAAGGGAGAATTGCCTTCGGAAGTGCCAAAAGCATTAGATGAAATAGGCATGCACAAGTTCATAAGAACTTCTTGCTGTATTCTCAAGACAACATTCTAGTTCAAATCTCATGTCTAAGCAGGCATGCACAAGTGTGCACATGCATAAAGGGTATTTTTCCTGTATAAACAGTCAGATTCAATGGATAAATTCAGTCCTTTTTTTCCCACTTTGTTCTCTTTCTTTATCCATTTATTCTGAGTTTGTCTGTTTGCTTAAATCGATGTCTGACTAACATCATTGATGATTGTGGATGGTCATGGTTTGACTCATAATATGGATGCCAGCTCAGGTTTCTTTAAGCTGTAAATCCCTATCAACCCAGTTTTTAACACCCAGTACCAGAAAGGGAAAATAAAGTTAAATGGTTGCTTAGAAACATGCATTTTAAGTAGGGCTTATTGACATTAATGGAACAGTTCTCTATCCACGATGATCACTGTTTGAATTTTTGCTTACAGTCTTCCTTAATTAACGCATTTGACTTTCTAGTTGTAACTTTTTTTTTGTTTGACTGACACTTGTTTTTCCATCCAATGTATGTGAGAAGTATTGGTTCTCTCTCTCTTCCTGTTTGAGTTGAATTTAGTATCCTAAGGTGTTATTTGCTATTTAGTTTATGGGCAGGAAGTATTATGGTTTTGTTTGACTTTAGTTCCTTGTTATTATAACAAGTGTTAGTTCAATTCCAAACTCATTTGTCTATAGGACTCTGAGGGAGAAACCATTGGAACTGGCCGGAAACAATAAAGAATTCTCAAAGTCAGATATTTATCTTACAACTTCTTTATTTGGTTTTCTTGATATCATGAATTCTCCTACTTGTTTCAAGGACGCAAACTTGAAAATATTAGTTCTATCTCTCTTCCTTGTTTTAAGAGTAATATTTACACTCGTTCTTATTTGAAAACATAGAACACAGGCCCTATGTTTTGTTTAAAGAGGTATCAAAGATTCTGATGCCTAGTAGAAGCTGTTTTATATCTTTCAGATGAAGCCATCAACTTGGAGTGCAGTATTATATTAATATGTGGGCTGGAATCTTCTATGAATATAATGAGGTTTGGGACATTACAGGACTAGTTGCTTTACATGGTTTAAACAGTTGTGGTTATTGCATTTGTTTAGGGTCTTTGTGATCTTTGCTTTTCTTTAAGATAAAAAAGCCTCGAAGTGTTGGGTTCAGATCTTACACTCAGTATTGCATTCTTCTTTCTCATCAAGAATGTCATTTTCATGAAGTTTTCTTTTAAAGAGTTACTGATCCTTCTGTAGATTATACTGCAACTCATACGCACCACACTTTTAGTTATCTTGATTCAATATGATACATACCAATAGATTCTACACATTGGTCCAAATGTAAAAATTTTCGACCTTTTGTCTATAGTTTAATATAGTACTTCTTGGTATATGTAATGTTGCTATGAATGATATGAACATTATACACCATAATAATTATTATTTTAATGTATTTTGGTTGATGAACATATTAATAAAGGTAATAGTTGAGCTTGCATGATATTTTTTCTCCATTGTCGGGCTCTCCAAAAATATTAGTCGTGTTCAGAACTATATATACATTGAAAAATGATACATGTTGAGACACATAGGAATATGAATACACAGATTCTTCCTGTTGAGATCCAGATGTAGATGTGAATTATTTACCTCAGTTGCTGAAACTGACAGTCTTCGTAGATCATTAATGCCTGGATAGATAACCTATTCCTAGTTCTGCCTGTCATGATTAAATGTTGCTGTGTCTCAATTTAAGTTGTTGGCCTTTTAAGTATAATTAGCTTCTTCATGTTAGATATTGTAATTGATGCTTAGATTTTGTTGATTTTTTTATTTATATCACCAAGCCAGTATGTCTTGCATTAATTCCTTTTTTCTAATTTATGTAGACAACAGTTATCATTGTATTTGGATTTTAGAAATTTAGATCAAATAGTATTGATGGATCATATTATCAGTGCACAGAAGGATGCGGTGTTAACATAACAATAATAACAATAAAGTCGTAAGTCCTAATTATTTAGGATCGATTATATGAATCTTTTATCATCATTGAGATTTATAAAGAATCATATGTTTAGTTAAATTTAGTATCACATAATCATTATGATCTTTGACTACAATGAATAGCGTTAGGCTAACATATGGTCGACTTAAGACTGCAATTTTCTACAATTTTCTAATTCTTGTATGATCTTTGTAACATTAATTGTCACAAACAATTTGGTTGGATCTTTTGGTCTCCAAAGTACATCCGAATATTTCCAGTTCTATGACTTATTCAGTCAATTCCCATATCATCATCCTTGCTTGCATTTGTTATCTCATTGTTGTTTTATATGATGTTCCCCAGACATGTTCCATTAGTGGGCTTATTTCAGTGGTTTCTTTGTCATGACTGAATTTTGGCTTTCATTTTCGTGTTTTAGTGCTTCGGTATTTGAGTATGTGTGATCTAAAACTTGATTACCCCTCATTTTGTAAGTATCGGCTCATAGTTCAAAATTGTTTGTTGGAATTACATGTCGTCCATTAGAATTTAGTCATTAAAAACATACATCAAATCCAAACCTTTTATACATTCTGGATCTGTTTTCTCTCTCTTTCTTTGATGTGTCTTTTCGTGCCCATAAAAAAGGATCACGCAGAAAAAGCATATGTTCTAGACAACAGGTGCTGTGATTTAGTTTAATATTTGAGTTGATTTATAGAGATAGACGAGTCTACTGATCTTAATTTGGATTTATTCAATCAAATAAGAAACTAAAAAAATAGCTTTAGAGGCACTTACAATAATTCTACAATGGATAACTCAGAAATAACTAAACAAGGCCAACCAATTTAAATTTTTGATCAAGCTTTTAATTCTGTGTAAATATTGCGTGAATGCCAAGTTCATGTTACTTTCCATGCATATTCTCTTTAGTTCCTTTTCCTTGAGAAGTGTCGATATTGGTGATGCCAAGATTAACTTAACTCAGTTCAGGTTTGTATGCGTAAGAAATGTGGTAGATTCGGACGTGTGCTCCGTTGTGACTTACATGAATGTCAAGATCAAGTGGATTTTTCGATGTGGTCTTATAGTTAACTTATTTTATGATATGAATAAAATATTTTTTAATCACACTTGATTTTACCTGTTGATGGGATCTTACATTACACGTGATATACTTGTGTTGTGATTAGGGGTGAATATTTCCGTGTCAGTCCTCCGTTATATTCTTGTTTATATTATTTCCCATATTGAAACAAAGTAAATCCCCCCGTATTTGTTTACTATATACCTAAAATCTCCCACATCTCCTTCCTACCGACTACTGCAACCTCAGTTAATCATCCGCTCATCACCTTTCAATCACTTGTTTTGTGCTCATGTAATTATTTTTCATGACTTATTATTTTGACTTCCATCTAATGTGTCTTTTCCTACTCCGTCATTGCCACCGTCTTAATTGTGCCGCCTACGGTGGACTCTACGATTGCTTTCTTTGCCGATGCTGATATCGAAGTTTGAAGTCAACTACTTTACGGGTATAAGTACTCCACAAACCATGCCATTGTCTCATCAAGCAAACCGAGCAATCCTCTCACACACTCTTCATCCCTTCCCACCCTCGCCCCGAATGGAAACCGATGGATTGTCTCGGGGGCATTTTGGATCTCTCTTGCACCTGAGGTGTTCGACGTAACGCCGCAACGATCTGGTGCTCCTCCGCATGGTGACGAAGCCATATTATGGCCTGCTCGTTGCGCCGATCCGTTCTATTGTTCGGATGATGCTGACCGCCACTCGTTCTACTCTGCTGGTTTCGTCGACACCATTACTAGCGACGGAGCCTACAGCATGAACGATCCATATACGCTTCATGCAGTCACTAAAGCACTCAGCAAGAACGTGGAGACGAGCAGTGACGAAGCTGGAGACTTGATTCAGCAAATCATCAACACCTCGTCCTCCACCCACAAGCGACATCCAGAAGCCCAGCGGCAGCGGAGGTGGAGGTCCTAGAAATAAGGCCCAGGTTTTGTCATCGGTGAGTGTTCACAGTTTGCTCGAATGGCTTTACCCACAACTTCTATCACATTACATGCTTCAGAGCAAAGTCTGGAGATGGTAACGAGGAAGACACAATCGATGAGTGCCCTAATTACATATTACCGCATATAGTTAGTTATTTTTAACATTTCGATCCGTATACTTTAAAAAGTTACATTGGCGCATCCCTATAGTTACGAAAGTGAATCATCCAGGTTTTTTTTTTTTTTATGTCATCGGTTTTATCAACGAAAACATTTCATTTCGTAATAGCGGACGACATTGGTGGTGGCGGATAGCGGGGCCACCGGGGGTCGCGGGTGGCTGTTGTTGATAAAAAGAGTGGTGACGTGACGTAGTTGCCAAGCGACCCTTTCACCACTCTGCATTTGCATTGGCGTAGTTATCGAGCGACCCTTTTGTCGCTTCTGTATCTGCGTCGACGTTGACGTAATTGTCAAGCTACATCACTCTACATCTATATCAACGCTAATATATATGTCAAGCGGTGAAAGGGCTATCAATGCAAATGCCGAGCAGTGTCGATCGACAACTATATCGACATCGATGTAGATGCAGAGCGGCATCACTCGACATCTGCATCGACAATCTTTTCGTCGCTCGACAACTACATCGACACAGATGTAAAGCGATCCTCACATTTCACCGTTACTCTCCTCATCCACAATAGTCATCTACGGCTCTCAGCGACATCGTCGTCCGCCACCACCAACTAAACGTTAAATTTTTTTTTTATCTTTTATTTTTATGTTTCCATTAGTAAAATCGATGGCATTAAGATAAATGGATCTAGATATTTCACTTTCGTAACTATAAGGATATTATAATTAATTAAAGTGTAGGACCAAGACATTAAAGATAGCTAATTATAAGGGATAATATATAATTAGCTTTTGATGAGTCGATCGAGTAGAGCTGCAGCTTCGGCAGCTCAAGAACGACCTATGCTCTACATCGTTTGGATCTGCAACTCCAAATCTAATTGCGACAATAAGAATGGGTCTTGGATCAACCACAGGAGCTCAAAGCCTCTATGCAAGGGTAAATACTTAGTCCAAACTTGTTCTATAGAGCAATAATTCTAGTGTTCTTTCTGATGCTATTGCTGATTTTATATGGCTTGCAGAAGAGGAGAGAAAGAACCAACGAGACTGAGAGTTTAGCGTTACCTCTGGCATCGTCCTCGATGGATGAGGAAAGATGAGCCTGTCAGGTCACTTATTGCTGTTGCAGACTCGGAATATTAGACCTTCCATCTCTTCCAGAGAGTCCAGGCGTCGTAATCTAAGCAGAAGTCAAGAAGAGAAGGTGCAGTCTATGAAGCTTGGATCAAAGCCTGATTCATACTGCTGTTGTTTGCTATGGTGCTGAGACATTGTTTGCTGTATGTAGGTTCTGACACTGTTCCTACCATACTCTTTTGCGTCCTTCACAATCATCTGTTGATCCAAAACCAATTAATTCATCCACTGCTGTCCAAAACACAATAAAAATAAGTAGGTGTATCTGCTTTCCTCATCTATTAATGTGTCAGCTGTAGGATCTGAAATCAATATGCATTAGTAAATATGCTTTCTGCACTGTTTCCCTCTTCTATTAATTGATACCAAGTATATATTATATCTTTACTGACAACTTTGGGCATTATCTAAGTTGTTATAGGCTATTCAATCTGGCATATTCCCATCTTTACTTAGCAACCCCAATGATGCTTCCTCTTTCACTAAGAAAACTTGATCATGCTTGTGCTCTTAATTTTCCAAGTCAATATCATTTGTTACAAGGAAACACATACTTATCTATGCAGCTTTGTGGCCATTCATGTAGGCAATGCCAAATTCCATTTCCACAGGGTAATAACTCATGCACCTAAGTTGTAATAGTCTAATTAAGTTGTAATAGGGTTGAAAGTAATGACTAATCTCGACTAAATGAGTGAATAATTGTGAACAACCCTAATATATTTTTGATGAGATGATGCTGGGATGGTATTTTGGAATAGGCAAATTAGAGCAGGAGAGGAAATGGGCATTGTAGTACTAGTAGTAGTAGTAAGAATAGAATAGACGCCTCTCCAAGAATAGATGGCTCTTGTCGCATTGCCGGGGATTCCAATTATTGATGTCAACTCCTCCACCTGCAACTTGCTAAGGAGAATATATGGTTGTCGCCTTAGTGCTACAACTAGTATTGGTGCCACTTCTCTTCTTGAGGTAGAAAGAAGAAGATGCTTGTTTCTACATACTACGTATGAGAACATATATTCTCATGTAACACGTAACCTTACCTTTGATGAGGGAAAAATATCCATCGTCCATTCGTAGTCAACTTGAAGTAACCTCAGCTGTTCTTTATTGGTATCAAGACCAACCTCAATAATGATAAGATCGAACTCCCTACAGCTACTCATGATCAAGACAACATGAATAGTACCTCAACCAAGGGACAGTCGGTTGTCATCCTAAACTATTAGGATTCCAACATCCTGTCTCCTTGTAAAAAAAGAATACTGGGTCTTAAAAGAGAGACTCAATTTAATCTACTAAAACTCCTTTTGTTATTGCCTTGATATCATCGACCAGAAGTCGACATGGCTCGGTCTTAAAAGTGCAAAGTCGTGCAAACGATCCTCATGACAAATTGAAGGGGCGATTGATATAACGTCAAGGTATCCGAGGTGGCTCGGAGGTAGTTTTAGAAGAATTCTCAGCTTCCTGTGGTGGGCTCTAGTCTCCTCAAGGTGTGCTGCATTGAGATCAACGTCGAGGAGACGAGGGGATTTCTCGACCCGACCCCTCTGTCACTCTAGTTAGTATTGTGGAGTTATGGGGGTGAAAAGATTTGCAATGAGAGAGGGGGGGTCAACTTTTATACTTAGAAGATCAAGGGAACCATTCATAATCACCTTAATACATTCCTCTTATCGCTTGTCCATATGGGTGACTAACCCGAACGTACCCTATAGCTTGTCGCCTATAGAGATTGATCAAGAGGGGAGCAGATCTGATTGACCACCCAACTAATGATCATAATTTTATTGAGAATTTTATCTATTTTTATTCCTCAAAATCATACAACTCTTGTTCTCTCACCATCAAACATCCTCTCTAATCCAAAAATCATCATGTCTCATTTCAATTTTATATATCCCTATGATAAAAGAATAATAATAAAAAAAAAGCTTCTTACAAGGGTTAGACTCATCCCCTATCGTCCAAGTCTAAACTGTGCGATTGAATTCGGTCGTTCCATCCATCCCCATAAAAACAAATGATATATATTGGATGAGATAACTAATTAAATTAGGGATATATATATTCACTAGAAGTACGATTAAAATAAGGAAAATAATAACAAAAGCCAAACGACCACTAAGCAATTGCGACTTGACGTGGGGTGCGAGGGACGCCAAAAGAAGGCCGTATCATCAAACGCACCAACGCCCCCTCCGCAAAGGAATCAAACGGTGGGGAACGCGGGACCGACCAACCGCAGCAACACGGAGCTGCCCGCCCCCCGAAATCCCAGGACCTTGGAACCCCTCCCGCCCCACCCCAAGGCGGTAACCACACCACCCCCAATACCTCAAGCACGTTAACTCTAAGGTCGAGTTACCTAACCCCGGTCTCCCTTATATATTCCCCCGTTCCCCTCACCGCCTCCGCGCCCGCTCCTCATTCCGCCTCGCTCTTCTCCGCCCTCTTCCATCTCCGCTCAAGTCTCCCAGAGTCGAAGAAAGAAGAAGAACAAGGAACTAATTGTAGCACGTTTAGAGGATTGGTAGAAGAACTATAGTGGAAGAGAGGAGGAGGAAGAGCTGACCTCCGTGTAGCGATCGAGCGGTGGATGAGACATCGTCGGAGATGAGTTGCAACGGGTGCAGAGTTCTCCGCAAGGGCTGCAGCGACTCCTGCTTGCTCCGGCCTTGTTTGCAGTGGATCGACTCCGCCGAGGCTCAGGCACACGCTACCGTCTTCGTCGCCAAGTTCTTCGGCCGCGCCGGCCTCATGTCCTTCATCTCCGCCGTCCCCCCTTCCCAGCGCCCCGGTTCGCGCCCCCGAATCCCTGGTTTGATCAGGTTTTGCTCCTTGGGTTTCTAGATCTTGGGATTCTAACGCACCCCATCTAATTTGGTCGCAGCTCTGTTCCAGTCCCTGCTGTTTGAGGCGTGCGGGCGAACCATCAACCCGGTGAACGGCGCCGTGGGGCTGCTGTGGGCCGGAAACTGGCACCTCTGCCAGGAGGCGGTGGAGACGGTCCTCCGCGGCGGCACGCTCCGCTCGCTGTTCGGTCACGGCGACGATGAGACGCCGGAGGCGGACGGCCCCTGCCCTCGTCCGAGGATCGGGTTCTCCTCCTTCTCAGCGGCCAAGCGGCGGAAGGCACCGGCCCCATCCGACGCAGCCGCGGCATGCGATCTGGACCTGTGCTTGACCCGCCGGTCCCCCGCGGGCGGGTTTGAGGAGAAACGGCGCAGGCGCCCGGCCACGCCGTCGATGAACTCAGAGGGATCGGTGACGACGAGCGGCGGCGAGAGCGACAGCTCCACCGCCGAACCGAGGCTTCTCAATCTCTTCGCCTGAGGAACTGATCCCCTTATTTGTCTGTGACTCTTCTGGTTGTTTATCCCGGCGAAAGTTTTGGCATTCGCTTTTGGCAGGCGAGATTTCTAATTAATATGTTGGGTAACGATGTGAATTGAGGCGGTCTGTTAGTCCGTGATGTTAGTCTATTAAATAAATCTCCCTTGTAATTTGGTTTACGTTCTTCATTTCTTGGCACTGCCGGAATAGGATAAGGAAATCCATCGCGACCGCACGATGCATAGTCTTCTGACGCATCACCAACCAATAATTAATAGCCACATCAGCCTTGGTGTCATCAATCTCGTTATCTCACGCCGTCGATACCAACCCTACGACCATAGCATGAAGGGTGAAGGAAGAGAGGAGGCGACAGCGGAAAGGACGGCTCTTAGGGGATGGCAGGAGGCGTGCGGAAGAGGGGAAGGCATCTTCCATCCCCGCCGTGTCGCGAGTCGCCGCCTGCACACGCCCCGGTCATTCGCGGGGCCGGCACGTCCCATCTCCGCACAACGCTATCACGGGCGTGTGCGGCGCTGTGTCAGCGCCGTATTCGGCGGTTCCTTTCTTGCCGTCCCTCCGTCTGGGCCTCGCTCGTGGGGGATGACGGACGCGCTGATGCGACGGGGAAAGCGGCAAAGTAGCGAAGCGAGCATCGCACTCCCACCTCTCTTTTTCTCTTCGCCTTCTTTTCTCGTCGTCGTAATCGACTCGCCTCGCCTCGCCGCGTTCGGTGGCGGGACCCGCCCGCCACCCGCCCATCGAACCTTGTCTCTTCCCACTCCGCCCGATTCCGGACGGGGCGAATCGACGGCTTGCTTTTTCGATCTTTGGGAATCGACGGCTTCCCTTTTCTCCCTATTTGATCTGGCAATTCTTCTACCCAATACATATATGGATTGTGTGCAACAACTTGCTCGTTGATTCCAAATCAGAATCCAAATAAGCAGCCGCAGTGCAGTTGTGGTGGCGAATCAATCGTTTGATACTATTCCAACTCTTTACGAGCTCGGAAAGCTTTCGATCAATCAATTAACAACGATCGTTAGTCGAAACCCCAAATGCTTAAACCCTCGTCATAAGGGCAAGTGGACGAATAGTATAGCACAGGGGGCGGTGAGACTGCTCTCAGCGCACACAGAGATACAGTGGGATTATGTGGTGGGGAAGGCGGGGAACATCACAAAAGCCACCGTCCTCCCTTCCTCTTTATATGTATATTACCTCATCTCCTCTCTCTCTCTCTCTCTCTCTCTCTCTCTCTCTCTCTCTCTCTATACGGCTATAGCTTTCTCTGTAGGGGGCTGAGGCTGGTGCCTCGTCAGGTTCATGCACCGGGAATTAGGAAACTCCACACAGCAGGGATGGGATATAAGAATCGGAAGACGGAGGGTGATTGGCTTTACATGACGCGGATTCCACTTGTGGAGTCTTTGCGTGCGCATGGCTGGCACACAAAGAACGTACCTCATCTTGGTGGAGCTCGTGAACCGGCCATGCGCAGCGCAGCGCAGCGCAGCGCTGTGCAGTGCCGTGTCTTCTGCGAAACGCGGTGTCTCTGTGTACGTGCCAATTATTGTACCCCCGGGAGGATTCCGAGAGCATGTCGGGGAACTCGTGGGGCCCGCGTGGTACGTAGCGGGTATTCGCTTCGTAGGTGACGTGTCAGTGTTCGGTCAGCTTTAATTTTCCGGTGCATCAGATAAAAATGATGTAAACGATCGATGATATATGTATGTAAGTGTCAATGTCAATTTGGAGTTCCAGTGTTGTTATTCTAGCAATAACTACTTGTTAAAGTCAAAAAAGATTAAGAGGGCATTTTATGAGAATTTCTAGTGTCCCTGAAGGTTGATTTTTTCAAAAATAAATAAATAAATTTAATTTAATTTAACACACAAAAAAAGTACATAATATATCTAAAAGATCAAATCATATATGTCCATCCATAAAAATATATATATATCTTTATCAGAAATAATTGGTTCTGCATCGATGCTGACTCACCGCAGGTCAAAAGAATATAAGATGAAGGCAACACGAACGCATCTTACGCATCCCTTTTTTGCCTTTGTTGGTGCGTTACTGACTCCATTGCCCTCTCAGGCAGCCAAAAGCCGTACGCAACTCCTTGTCCTAATGATTCTGCTCCGCTTTCGGACGTCGCTGAGTCGTTGGGTGAGCAGTAGTAAGTGTTGGAGAAAGCAGGTCTGAAACGTCGAGCATGGCTTTTTTCCCTCAGTAGTCATGCAAAGCTCGTCTTCTTCCTCGTTTCCATACGCGCTTTTCAACCCTGTTGGGTTTCAACGAGAGAACTATATGAAGATTTAACTCTCGGTAGATATCAGCTTGGGGTACTCGTAAGCTAAATACTTCCACCATTAATAGCCACTAAATTAACTCAGGTGTTCTTGAATGACGACCAATGCATGAGTGCATGTAATTTGGTGGCTGTAATGAACTGTTCATCAGCCTCCCTGGAACTGAACCTGATAGAAGATAAGATTTCCCCAACTTGATAGAGGATAAGATTTTCCCAATTATATGAGGAAATCTTTCTATTCTGTTTATTCTGTTGAGGGAAATCCTTCCTCCTAATATGTATAAATAGGAGAGGGAACATGTTAATAGATTCAAGCTAAAGCTACTTCACTTCTTTAATAAAGCTTCTTCAATTATTGTTCTTATCTTCTATTATTTCTATCAGAACCAAGGATTTCTGCTGGTGATGATCACCACGATGATTCGCAAACACTCAAGACTAGCACTAGAGGAACCACTCCTCATTCCTCATCGAGCTAGAAGGATTTATGAGAGGATTCCTTGAGGAAAAAAATTCCTCCAAGAGAGGTAAGATCATTTGTTCTTTTATTATTAGTTTTTAATTTATATCTTATAATTTTTTTTTATATTATAATAATTATAATTTATGTGATGCATAATAATATTTGGATTTTAAAATTTTATGATTAATAAGTAATGATCATTGAATTATAATATTAGAATGATTAGTTAATTTAATAATAGTTCTAATTTATTTAATTAGATATATTTATGTTTCAAAGAATTATGTGTGAATTGTTATGATTTAATTAATTTTAAATTTAAAATTATGAATCTAAATTAATTAATTTATGAAAAAGAATACATTTGAAGTTAATTATTATTTTATAATACTTCTAAAAATATTAAAATTTTATTTAATGAGAGGGATCAAATTTAGGTATAACTTTATTTGCCATATTAGCCCATATGACTAGGTAAAGCTTAGCACATGTGCCATAATACGGTGAGCATATATGACCAGACATAATCCAGCTCATATGGTTAAATATAATTCAACGCATGTGATCAAACATGGATTAATCCATATGATTATGTATAACTCAACCCATATGATTGATGATTAGACATAACCAATGTGATTGGGTAAGTAAGGAATATAACTTCATCATTTATTACTGTTGGAGTGTAATATGAATTTTCTCAATTTATTGTTGAAAAAAATTTATCCTGTAAAGTATGTATAGGAGTATATGTGTGATGATGTATATATTTGTTGTTTGACTATTATGTATATCATCAAAGTATGTCGCATATAACTTATGCATGATTTTATTTACTGTATAAGAATTATTATCATTTTTATGATGCATAAGATTTATAATGAATTGATATATTATTATTTTATATTAAATTATTAAATATATATATATATGATAAATATTAAAATATTATCTTTTTAAATTTTCGAGAGTTTTATCTTTATTTTATATTTATTTTTAGAATAATATATTATTTTATAATAGATATGAGGCCAAGAATTTTCATCACTTATGGTTTCAATAAGAAGATATATTTTTTAATTAAAAATATTTAGTATTATAAAGTAAGAAATTTAAATATAAAGTAAAAAAATTATATAAATTATGAATAATAAAATAATGATTTATTTCTTTTATATATATATATATATATATATCTCTTGGGGTAGAACGTTTTTATATTGACGCCCCTCCACAACGTTATATCACAAAAAGGTGCTTCATTTCTCGTACTTCCCAACTCGTCGGGTCACTTTCCACTATAATTCTTTCGAGATCGATCCCCGATGGCGGCGGAGGGCGGTTCGTCGTCGGGAACGGTAAGGGATCTCCTTCTTCTATTATCTTCTTCTACGTGGTGCTATTTATTCTCCGTTTAAGATCTTTGACGCCTCTTAGCGCGAAGTGGTCGAAGACGACTTCTTCGGCGCCGAATCCGGGTGGGTGGAGGCTCGAACGGCTTGCGACCACCTTCCCTCGTTGTGTTCCGATCTCTCTCAGATCCCTCTCCCGGATTCCCCCTGCTCCAGGTTTGCCTTTCATAAAGTTAATGAACACCAGATTCGGTTTTTGCTTCCATCGCAAACTAGTTTTCGAATGTAATGTCCACGCGTACGTAGAGATTATGAGGAATCGAGGTGGTGGATGGAAAACCTAGGACTTTTTTGGGATTCGTAGAACCGACGCCCTTTTCATGATTGAAAGTGATCACTAAAAGCTTGGGGTCTGCGAGCTATCACCTGTTCGCTCTAATGTCCAAATGAATTTCCAGTCCCCTGCAGCTTCATGGACCTTCGTCATGTGATGTTTGAGGATTTATCTTATGTCGGTTTAGGTCTCATGCATTCTTCTATTCAGGCATTATGGTAAACTCAACATCAATTTTGGAGTATCCACATTTACTCTGTTAAAAGCACAGTATTATGTGAAAAGAAGTACCCATTTTTGCTACTTCACTTAGCATCAAGCATCTGAATTGGCAGCTCAACCTTGTCATCAGAGAACATCATTTTTTGTTATATCATATATCAACTTACTGCTTGATGCTTTGAAGTGATCATCCTGTTGTCTGATAATTCTAACTTCTTTGAATCTCTAATTATGTAGGAGAATGCTTCAAGATAACCAAAGATAATCAAACAATTCATCGTGACTTTAGTGGGATTGGATGATTTATTGTCTCATCAAACTATGTTTTGCAACATACCTTTGCTTGTGCTCCAGTTTTTCATCAGGTTACCGCGTAAGAACAACTCTATCTTGAAATATGACATCTTGAATTTCCATGAATAATCAATGCTTGGATTCTTTGTGTGGCGGCAGAAAGATTTGATCTGAGTTGGCTGGATAAAGAAAAAGTATCATCGAAACCTGTTTTGGTGCCATATCTTATTGACTGTTCTTTCATCCCTCTCCGGTATAACAACACATGATATCTAGAAACTGACATATTAGGACACAGTTGAGTCTTCAAATGGATGACGGTTCATGTATTGATCATTCCATGAATCCAATGTTTTGGATTTTTTTATTAGGAGACAGGCCATAAATCTCAAGAAACATCCACCTTAGGATCTTGGAAACTAATTATTGTGTCTTAGATCAACAAAACTGTGGACCCAACCTCGAATTGGGTCCATGGTCAATACCATGCATTTTAGGCTTCTGTCCCTAGAAGTTGGAGAACATGAGGGTTCCTGAGTTCAGGATTTATTGTCTTTACATATACTTACAAATAGAGGTAGAACATAATCTCCACTATTAACTATTTGACGGATGAATAGGGTTCAAATGGTTAAAGCAGGATGATTAATCAAATTGCCTGAACTTTTTTGTATATAAAATAGAAGTAGAGTGCATCACAGGGACTCACATTCACATCAGAGTGAGGGAGGGTTTTTCTACTTTCCCTTCTACCTCTCATAGTTCTCATCGCCTGTGATTCTTCGTGTTTTGATGATGGCTATCAAAACAATGTGGGTAAATCCGATTCTGTTAGTCACAATCGGATCATAAGTAGTTCAATGTTGCCTACCACAATTGAATAAAATTTCAAGATAAGAAATTGTGTTAGCTACCAGATTGATCGTCTAATGAAATCTTTCACATATCGTCTAATGAAACCAGATTGTGTTAGCATCGCAGGGACTCACATTCACATCAGAGTGAGGGAGGGTTTTTCTACTTTCCCTTCTACCTCTCATAGTTCTCATCGCCTGTGATTCTTCGTGTTTTGATGATGGCTATCAAAAAAATGTGGGTAAATCCGATTCTGTTGGTCACAATCGGATCATAAGTAGTTCAATGTTGCCTACCACAATTGAATAAAATTTCAAGATAAGAAATTGTGTTAGCTACCAGATTGATCGTCTAATGAAATCTTTCACATATGTTTCAGATGCCACCACCCTGCCGAAAATTGGTTATGTTTGAGCTGTAAAGACGTCTTTTGCAGTCGTTTTATAAATAAACACATGCTTAAGCACTATGAAGAGAGTGGGCACTGCCTTGCTTTGAGCTTCAGGTATAATATATTCAGAAATCCTTTACATGATAGATTAACCTCAGATTGGGTCCTGCTTCACATCGCTTAAGATTTTCCAACAGTGATCTATCGGTCTGGTGTTTCGAATGTGATGCGTATCTGGATGTTCAGATGATTTGGCAGTTGCGGCCTGTTTATGAAGTTGCCCATCTGTTAAAATTCGAGGAGCGACCATCATTTCGGGCTATCGAGAGCCTGCAGCTATCTAGTGATCAAGGTGAAGGTTCCTCTTAAGCTCCTCAGATTATGTTACTACCTGTAGTTGTTCTCTTAAAGTGAAAGTTACACTTGGTTTCCTGCTATCTTGATGTTAAAGAAGAAACCTTGAATGTTGCTTCACACATGGGCATGTTTTTAGAGTTAATCTGAACCAGAAGACAACGCGCATGCTTCTAGTCGTTTCCTGTAGCACATCAGTGCTCGAATGATTGATCGAAGTAGGCGTCGGCCTTGACGTGTCCTTAATCCTTGTGTAGTGTCTCGAAGGATGCATCGTTTCTTATTGCAAGCTCAATTAGACTTAACCTGTGACAATGACATGCTTCGACCGTCTTCTCCAACTGGCGTTATAAAACAAGCATGATTTTTGTCATATCGACTGATGTGATCAACTCGCACCGATCGCGTGTTGAGCTCTCGAAGCAACAGACACTTGTTCACGATCGTAACCAACCTTTCACTGTTTTATATGTATGTTAGTGGATTCGGTACAATATCTAACTCTGCATCATAATAAATTACCCCAATGAAAGTACAACAACAGCCAGCCTCTCTTCAAAACATTAATTATGTCATCCATAAGACGTGTTACTTCGAGTCAAAACCTCCCTCGGGACATTTAATTATGGAGTCCGTGAATCATACGACTGTACTGATTCTTAAATAAATGGTATTTGGACTTCGGAATTGTCTTCTTTAACCTTTTTCTTTTTGGCGATAGATAGATATACTGCAAATCCTGTTTAACTTTTCCTCACAGTTGCATATGTCAAACTTATTTTTCCTTTTTTTTGTTTTTGTTTTTCCGTCATCAAAGCTCAATCATACTTACTCTCAGCCTTTACGGTACAAAAATGTTGATGACTGGCTATTAATAAAACACACTATGTATTGCTAAATTCTAAGGTCATACACCCAAATACATACATATAATATATCTATTTATATATATATATAAAAAAGAAAGGGAAATAATATTCTCGGCACGCGCGTGAGGTCGCTAGAACCTGCGGCAGAAGCCGAGGCGTGCCCACTCGAGCACGGACCACACGTGCGACTCGTCCCGCCGGGGCCTCCTCCTCCTCCTCCTTGCCGCCGTCGCCGCCCCCGCCCGGTGAGGTCCGGCCCGCCCCGACTCCGTAAGCAGCTCCCACATCACGTGCACGTCCTCGTACTCGCACGTGCTCACCTCCTCCCTCAGCTGCGTCAGCCCTGCGGGAGAGCACAGGGGGGAGGAAGAATGAGACCCCGTGTGTCAGGGCACCAGGGCCGCGGGGCATCGGAAAGAGGGGTTGTGCGACTCACCGGATTTGCGAATCCCGAGGCGGGTAGCGACGCCGGTCCAGACCCTCCTCATCGGCGACGTTACCCGATCCCACCACGCCATCCCCGGCCGGACTCGCCGAGAGAGAGCGACAGAGAGGGAGAGAGGGAGCAGTTCCGATCCGCGGAGGACCGACCGCAGGAGCCCCATTTAAAAGCCTCTACCCTCCTATCCACCGGCTAAACCCTCCCATGACCGCCACGCGCCGGTCGGCTCTTCTCCGTAATCCTACTCTTCTCAATCAGCTAACTCGCGCCGTAATTGGACGAAGCGCGTGGGTCCCAAATCCCAGCACGAACCGCGTTATCTACTCGTCCGGTGATTGGAAGGAACGCGTGGGGCCCGACGGGGACCCATCGACGAGGTAGGTACCACGGTGGATAACGGTCGGGCATCAGGTTGATCCGAGTTGGTTAACTGCCAGGGTTGGGTTGGGTCCTTGACTTTGAAATATCTAATCATTCGTCTCTGTTTCCTATATATATATATATATATATATATATATATATATATATATATATATATATATATATATATATATATATTTCCAAAAGGAATTTGATATCTTCTCATTATATTGCTCCGATATTATTTTAATTCTCTTCACCTCTGTTAGTTATTTCATCAAAAAGCTTAAGTTAGCATCGATTCAAGTAGAGAGTGTCCACTTACTCTATCATGTGATACGTCGTATTTTGGGCCCAAGACATATCACCGCCACATGTCAAGTAGAACCGTATCAAAAAGTTGTTTCACATGTCTCGTCTCGAGAGCTTAGGGCGGTGCCGTTTGATGCTGCTCCGCACGCCACCTGAGACGACGGTCGGTCTGAAGTGTCGTCCCATCCCTCGAGGGTTAACAGCCACACCGAATCGACATGCTACCGACCCTCGTACAATAGTATAAAGCCCCTGGCCGGCATCTGGCCAGAGGGAAGAAAAGGAGGGGAAAAAAATAGAAAACAATCCACCCACTACTGACTTGCTCGTCGGAGAGGCCAAAGTCGGGGATCACCCGACGAGGGTCATTTTTACAAGTGAACGACCATCCGTGAGCAGTGAGCGTCTCAACCCAGGGGTCGCCACCCAATGTGCAAGGACGAGCTGTCAATCGGCCGAAGCTCGACCAACGCCAACAAGCATCCCTTCCCGAGGGCACGGCCACCTCATCATCCAGCTTACTCGACAGAAGGCTCCCGACATTAACCCGTGAACTAAACTATGCTGATTCACCAATCACGATATATTTGTTCACGAACAACACTAACCATCGTACTCTCCTACGTTATTAGAACTCCCAGACATATTTCTCGGTCACTCTCGTACTAATTTAACACACAACACCTATTTCACTTTTCCAATCTTCTATTTTTCTCATTAACCTAATAAGCATTAATAAAAGGATGTTTATCGAATACATCCCCGCGTAATAATTTTTACGTGACAATAGAGATAGATATTATGGAAGGAGGAGTTCAAAGCTTGAGACAGGCATTTGGACGTGGACTGGCCATATAATAACTCCTAAAAAAATCCACATGTACGATCGATATGCGAAGACCAATCCTAGAAATATAGAACGCAACAGTAGTTCCGATGTTGATTAATACTTTGGCTTTAAAGTAACCCATCAGTTGTAATTGAGGTTTCAACAACGCATTTCTATATAATCGAGTGACGTTTTCCTCTCAGAGTAGATTATGCAGGCAGTTGCATTAATTTGGAGACCGACGAGAAGAATTCGTAATCAATAGACCCGTGTATGCAACAAATCTTCATAGATACTATGAGATGAAAGTATTAATTGGGTAGGAGTCTCTAGTGCAGCCCAAGGTTGGATCCTCACTAGTCTTCTCGATGTCTCGAAAGTGGAGAATTATGCAGAAAAGGAGGATCTCCGATGCTAAAGGGAGGTAACCCCCCGAGCTCAATAGAACCTTCTCGAAAGATGTCTCAGAGGTTTGTGGCCTCGGTTAGCATCACTCGATGTTGCTTATTGTATTAAAGATAGTAGACGTTCCCAACTCGATAGAGGGGCCACATTGGAGCCATGCTATGATGAGCCTGGAAATGTATAAGAGGGTGGTTCGGGCACTCGTTTGCTCACTTGATGATCATCTTACAAGAAGACTAGATTCAAGTGGGATTGTCCGAATTGATCCCTTCGATACTCAAGCTAGGATTGAAATGGAAAATGAGTTCATAAGTGAATAATAATTGACATCTACAACAATAAATGAATGAGTGGGTGAGGCCCAAGAAAATATTCTATAGTGAGTCGAATATTTTTTTTTTCTTGGCTCACTATTATTGCTAGGTTTGGGTAATTACCATTTGGGTCCCTCTCTTTGTGCTGGCAGTCACGTGACTAGCTACAATTTGAGGTATGTTTTCTCCCATGCAGGGATGCTCCCAGAGGCATAACATTGCCCACTCTATTTAGTTGGGGGTTCATGCATCATAAGCTTTACCTTACTCATCTATTTTGCTTTTTTGACCTCAACTTTATATTTTTGACCTCTGCAGTACTCGTCATCTTTCTCATTAGGTCAGGAGAATATCTTTTTCTATCCAAATCTCGAACTCTCTGTTATTACCCGGCCTAATAAACTAATTGATTCATTAACTTCATTTCACCTAAATTACTGATTAAAATGACTAGACTAAAATTGATAATAGTATGCTTATCAAATCTTTATAAGTTAATTTTAGTCTTGTCCACTTTTAATATGAGACTAATCGATGTATTATAATTTTTCTCACTGGTTTAATATCCTTATCAAGTCCCAACATGGTTTATGGGATATATGAGATATAGTCGAATGGTAGCTTCGTATCGTGATGAATCCTCTACCTCTATCAATAGGTAATCTTTTCCTACTTGAGCCTCCTCATCGTTTTCAAATACTCAGTTGGTTTTGATATCAAATGTCACGACCTAGGAGCTTGATTGGCTAACTGGTTTATCATCTTCGTTTAACCTAAACCATTGGTTAAAAATATATAAATGAAAGTTAGTAATATACTCATCAAACCTTTATAAGTCAATCTTAGTCTTACCTAATTTTGATGTGGAATTAATCAGATGGTTATAATTTTTTCCTAAGTGAATTTATTGGCATACACTGGGCTAAGTAGAGAGATGATAATGTGTCTAACATCAATTGCATAGTTGGGCAGGCTAGTATCACGGGTTGAGCTGAGCCTCACTCACAAGTAAGGCTTAGTCGTACCACTGAATTAAGTCATGCTTGACTCGCAAGTTATGTCGTGCATAGCCACATGGGTTGGGCTATGCCTGATCACATGGGCTGATTTATGTCTGACCATATGAGTTAGATTATGCTTAACCACTTGAGTTCGATTGTGCTTGCCACATGAGCTAGATTCATTTTATTAAATTAGATTTAATATTTTAAATTATTAAAAAATAACTTAAATATATGAATTAAATAATTTAAATTCATGATCTTAAATTTAAAATTAATTAAATCATAAAAATTCACACATAAATTTTGAAACATCGATATATCTAATCGAATAAATTATACCTATTATTTTTATCTAAAAATAATAATTTTAATAATTAAATTAATCTTAAAATTTATTTAAGCTTAAGAGACCATTATAAGTCAAATAATCATTCTAACATCACAAATTTAAGTTTCATCATAAAATTTATAAAGTAACACATTATTATGCATCATAAAATTATAACAATCATAATATCAATATTTTAAAATATAAATCAAAACTAACTAGAAAAAAATAGCGGATTCTCAAAACATAAATAATTATTTATTATTTATTATTTATTTTATTTTCACATACAAGGATAGAAATATAATATTTATTTACTATAGTTCACACACAAAAATAAAATTTAAACTATTACTTTCTAAAAATCACATCACTCGTTATAAAAT